ATATCTTTGCGACAAGCCCCGAAGGGGACATCCCCGTCGACCGTCGGGCTTACTGTGTACGGCCACTGTGCGATTCACCTTACGCGCAAGCGCGTCACAGAGTGCATTTTCCGGAATTCAAATCTGAGAAGTATCAAAACAAGGGCAAAACGCTAGTTGGGAGAGAAGGGTTTTTCAGTGAAAAGGCGCGCTGCTGTACCCTCTCATCGAAATAGTCATGACATCAGTGCAGAACGAGAATCAGGGAGTCAGCGCAGGGTGAAAATCGTGTCGAGGACGTGAACACCTCAGTACGACCCCCTCACATCGGGGTCTTGATACGACCCCTCTAACTTTGATTTGATGTGAATAAGCGAGTTCCATCAATGTACAGCAAATCAGTTGCAGCGCGGTTTATCCGTGGGTCAGATTTGCCGAAACCCCGCTCGAAACCGTCGAAATCTACACTCTCGATGAAAAGGTTCCATTCCCCATTTCATAACCTTTGGAGCAGTATGTGGTAGGGTTAGATAGAGCTGGATTTGCTACTACCGGGCAATATTGAAATTGATCTAAAAGCTTTACACTCGAAGAGATAGGGTCTCTCAAATTTTGTCGAGCAGCGTCGAGGATCCCGAATTTTTCATGCGAGTTTTTGCCACTTAAAAGGCAATATCTCTCTAATTTGTAAGACCTTCAAAAAGTGAAAACAGTTTTGTAAGGTTTCCTTCCTTTGTGTGAGCAATGAATATTAACACATTTGGAGATGCGGATCTACATACCTATCATACAGGGTGTCCCAAAATTACTTGCGCCAAATTTCAAAAATTCATTGGAAAAGGTATATCGATTATTTTCATTTCGGGCGCTACTAAATAGTTGTGCAGGTAGGTTCTCTTGTGAACTGCATCGTTATTGGGGTAAAGTATTACTTAAGTACAATTGACGAAGTGATTTGGCACTATTTACCCTTTACTGCCCCACTCCTCGAGAACTGAGCCGGATTTTTATCGAAATTCGTCCATGACTGTGGATTTGGCTAGAAACTTGCCTTCAGGGGTACCTTAGAACACGAATATCATACCGGTTTAGCGCGAAAACGTGATGTGCACATCACGTTTTCGCGTTTTCGCGTGATGCGCCTGTGGCGCGGGCGCCAAGAGCCGCTATCACAACAGATGTGCGCGGGTGCTCGTAGCGCAGGCTACAGACTCACTCGTAACGAAACTGATGTGATATTCATATTCTACGGGTCAAAATACCTCTGAGGACAACTTTCCAGCGAATTTGGGGATCCGAGATGTTCTGGCGCCTTTTGGCGCCGGCGCTTCTGGCGCGAGCGCCAGGCGTTCTAGCGGTAAACGAATGTGATATTCGTGTTCTACGGGTCACCCCTGAAGGCAAGTTTCTAGCCAAATCCACAGTCATGACCAATTTCGATAAAAATCCGGCTCAGTTCTCGAGGAGTGGGGCAGTAAAGGGTAAATAGTGCCAAATCACTTCGTCAATTGTACTTAAGTAATACAAAACAGAAATACAACAGTCAAATCATATTGATCTGTACGCAACATAAATATAAGAATCTTCAGCCCAATAAGTCAAGAATAAATCAATACCACATAAAATCTCAAATTTTACACATTCGAACTATTAGGTTGGAAAGAAAGTTCTGCAACACTCTTTCTAAAATTTTCTTTTTTTCTGAAAAATTCATAGGTAACATTTATGACTAACAAATGGTAGAGCATTCTCGAGGCTTCAATCCACGAGGTGGATATAAGTGCTGCAGTCAGTAGTTATCCAAGAAAATTCAAAAAACCCCGACCACTGGTAAATTCGTCGTTATGGGCACCATTGTGTAAGTAGAGGTCTTGGCTACGAAACACGAAAAAGTTGACCGAGGCGGCTCGGGCCCGGTAAGAAATTCTGGGCCTGCGGCAAGATTTCTTACCTCTCTTAGCGTATTCCCCTGGTCGAGCTATAAATGACTGCCACCTATCCTGGACCTTAAATCATCATCTTGATGACGAAATAATTAGACGATCAACTCCAACTCGAAAGTGAGGTCGCCTCCTTTCTCGACCCGCACTCCGCTGGGTTTTGGCAAAGGAGCATCAAGAAAGCGTTGAAGACAAGTGGTGGACACTCATGGTGGATACAAGACCGGTCAGAAGTTGCAAACAAAAAAGACAAACAGTTTTTTGTTTGTGTGCCACACAGGTTTTTTACGGTGGAATCTTTATTGAGCCTGACGTTTCGACTATATCGTCGTCCTCAAAGGCCTGAAAGCGTTTTGAAAAGCTCAAATGTTACCTATCCGCTCAATATGGATCCACATTTGACCAAGTACCACGTAGGCTAATGAACTAAGGAGTGGGAACTCCAAGATTGGGTCTTACCTCAACTCCACCAGCGTCACCGCTTCTCGCTCAACAGCCTCCCTTGATGCCCTCCAGAGACAGTAGAATAAATGAGACAACCAGTCGTGCACTGCTTATAAAGAGCGTACGTGCAGTGCATAACGTTCTCATTATCATAGTCATAGAGAGCGATGTAGGGCATGAAGTCGGCAGTTACGGAAATGCAAGAATGCAAGCGGTCCAGGAATTGTTTCGTGTTTGACACATGTGATGGTACATGAACGAGAAGTTGACCGATAATCTTATTGAGGAACCATGAAATCCGATCGGTCGGTCCATTTACACAGCTGATTATTGGTCTTATTTTGTAGTCATGCGGCAGGAGTGACCTCATGTTTTCAGCAGACAATTTGTGAGTCTTGATGAGGCTGTAGAAGACAGGACACGTTGGGTTTTCCAGCTTCAGCCTTTTGACAAACTTTTTATCCAAATTTGCTGATTGACCTATTTTTGCCCATAATGAGTTTAACCTGTGCGCTTGCATTTGGAAAGCCTTTTCTGTCGAGACTCGGTAAATTGATTTCATCTGCTAAGTGGAGTTCTGTGATTTCTCCACTTAAGGACTGAAGTAGTACCACAAATTCCCCACCTTCAGGCCGATGTCAGACTTTGCGAATCGCGCGATTCGCTACTAGCGATTCGCGCGATTCGCTAGCGTCCGCGGTCGCGTTGCGGTACCAGCCAATTGAGTGATTCACTGGCCGCGACGCGACCGCAGACGCTAGCGAATCGCGCGATTCGCAAAGTCTGACATCGGCTTACGTTAACGGAGAGATTTATTTCGTTACGCGTTATTCTTTCCCTGATTTCTTTGAACCCTCCCAGTTATTATTTTGTGGAGTTGGAGCTACTGTCGCGCTTAAATCTATTTAGCGCAGCAAGTACCACTGATGACGAAATTCGGAATTTGAGATCTGCGTCTGGAAGTGGTTCTGCATGTTTATAAAATAATGCGGGAATGGAATAGGCGTTAGATAGCTACGCTCTGATCGCTCTACAACTACTCTTGGGAGTCGCGGCGTGTTTTGGCAATAGGTCTCTAAACTTTTGCAAATCGCATACTACTTTACGAATCGTAAGCGGGTTGACCAATTGCTTCAATGAGAACGATGGCCCAAATTCAAGAATCCATTGAATGATTAGAGAAATGTAGAATTTCACAGTTGTGACTTCATTACCGAGCTCAGACCCAAATGGACAGTTGTTGACGTTCTCTTAGCTCGGAGTGAGTGGCAGTTGATGAGAAGCCGGCCATTATACGAAGTTATATTACTTCACAGGTTGTCGTTTTTGCGACAGCGTCCCTAACAACATGTCATTCTCAACGAGGTATTAAGGGAGAAGGAGCGGGCGGTAGATAGAGGAGGTGCCTTTGCAGCGCGTGTGCACATGTGACCCTGTTCCTTGCAAGATGCACTTTCATTTCTTTGTAGTACTTTCAAATACTTCCTTCTCGAAGGTAGAGAGACGGAGCGACTGAACCTGCAAAGGATATTTTATATCATTTTCCTCATATCCTTGTTTTCTGCTGCGCTACACCCTCTCCCTCCTATCTGCACCACGATGCCACTGATGTTACTGACCCCCACGAGTACGACCCCCATGACCCACCCGACAAATACGACCCCCTGTCGAGTCCTCGACCGACATAGTTACACCCTGCGCTCACGTGGACTTCCACTGCGAGGTGGACACAGCGGCCCTTAAAAACCATTCGCTTGTGAAGGCGAGTTAAAAAGTCATTCAAATCATCAATTCAAAACATTAGCATCAGTAACAGCTTCTAGTGTTTACCATCATCTTCGCAATTTCGTCGGGAAAAACTCGCGCCATTGCCAGAAGCCATGACATCTTCAACATTCATTCCGACAAATTAGGCGTGATTTTAAGGAAGCGTGTGTACGCAATTGCACACAAAATCCTTTTTTACGCAGTGTTCAAGCTTCTCTTAAAGCCTTCACCGCTGTTGAAATAGTGTCTGTGCAGGACTTGGCGATGAAGGCGTCGTTGTCGTTGGTTAGTCATGTTGGAAGAATCCTTCCAAGACGAATGGCAGGTACGTCTACTAGTTGCCTTTCCCGTGAAATGTTGTTGGAATAGTGCATATTTGCTATGTTATGAACTTTCTGTTCTTCTTTGAAGGTACTGGCCTTATGGTACACCGGGACTCAGATCACAACAACCCAAAGGTGAAGTTTGAATTCAACGAGGAAAACAAGAAAAAACTGGACACTATTATTTCCAACTATCCGGAGGGATATAAGGCCGCTGCGCTGATTCCTGCTTTGGACCTTGCTCAACGTCAACATGGATGGCTTCCAATTTCAGCAATGCACGAGGTCGCACGAATTCTCGGTTTGTTAAATCTAAGCTTTCTCCTAAGCTTCTCGTGTATTTATCTGACTCGTAATTTCTAGATGTCCCACGAATGCGTGCGTATGAAGTAGCAACTTTTTATACCATGTTCAACAGACAACCTGTGGGGAAATACCATCTACAGGTGAGATGTTACGACATAGCAGGTAACCGCTTATATGAGACCCGGTATATTAGCCCTCTCCACTTGGGGTGGGTTTGATAATTTTGAATGTTGTTCTACTTCGTGCTTTTTCGCTGCCTGTGAATCTTTTTTTTGTTCTTCTGAGTGTGCATGCTGTATGGGTGTCGCTGCATTCAATATTTACCTTTGCAAGTCCATACATTTTCATAGGGTTAGATCAGATTTACAATTCTTTCGCTTTGCCTGCCCTCCATTGTTTCAGTCATACTATACGATGTCGCCATTAACACTTCGACGTAGCGTGCAACGCATGCGCTTCGCACAAGAATAGTCAGATTTTCGCGCATGCGCTAGTTCTCTTATTTTTTACATTTGTTCTCTAGTCCACATCGCAGCGTGACCGCAAACGGTGGGGCTGACTGAATGGTTGAATATTCTTCACTATAGCAAAGGTTTTCCATCTCCCACAAGTTTTTCTGTTCGCTTTATTCGTCATTTTCTTTTTTTTCTCTCAAACATGAATATATGAAAGAACTAGAAGTGAGTGCAGACCTGCACGCATACAATATATATGTTTCTAGTGGAGCAACCGGGTAAAAATTATTTAGAGATACACTGCAGTGAACGCAAACAAACCACTTTTTAAAGTCTTTTTTTCCTTGCCGTGGCACCTCATTTCATCGAACTTTTACAATTGTACCTATGATAAGTTTAGCACATTGAACACATTCACGACGACGCCCCTTTTCCACTTTTCGGTCGCGTGGGACGGACGATTTTGTGGGCGCCGCCGCCTCACCACATAACCGCAGATTTTGTTTTGTAAATGAACAAAAACATGAATGTCACAAAATAATTTCTGCAATGTCCAATGCGTAAAGATTATCTAAACATATAACAGTAGGATTTCGATCAGAACGACAAATAGTGGTTACGAAAAGAGAGCATTTATTCACTTTCCCCGTGAAGGAATTTAAAAGCATTTTACACTCGATTACGAGGTTTGCCCACCTATCTGTCCATTCCTAGCGCCTGGCAAGCGATTATCAGTTGGCAGCCCATATGGGCTGCCATCGTCCCAGGAGCGCATGTTGTTGGCAGCCCATATGGGCGGCCATCGGCGTGAATGTGTTAAGATCATTTAATACATTTTGTCGCATAAAAGTTTTGCGTATATCCAGCTCGAAATTCAAGGTTCATGTGAGGCGGTGGCGCAAGCAAAATCACTCTCCCACTCGGCAAAATTGCGAAACCTACGCTGTCGTCAGTGTGTTAATCTGTAGCGAATGTCGCATTTAAATCTAACTTTGTCCAACTTCCATATTTTATCGCTCTCTTTGAAGATTGTACGGAACTTAAGCGACTTTCTTCATTTAATTGGCTTAGGCCGTTCATATTCTGTGCTCGAGGCGTCATTTGTACAAGTTCTGCGCCCGCCCCTCAAGGCATGGTCACCACTAATGCTCGAAAGATGCCGTCACCAGCACTGTCGATTTCAGCTTCTAAAGAACAGAGGTGAAAATGTATGGAGAATGAATTGGAAAAAGAAACGTAGGCACTGAGTGCTAATGCTGCGCCGCGCTGTTCATTTATGTTTCCATAGCGAGACTTTCTATCGTTGAGTGCTAGTTGTTATTTCAACATGGTCCTGCTGCACTATGCAGCTGTTATGGTTTTGGCAGTGGTGCAAGCCACAACAGCTGCATGATGTGACTAGACCATGATGAAATGTGGGTCCTCAAAACCGCGTCTCTGTTCCTATCTATTTAATCCTGACCATGAAGAAGGCATCTTCTTCTGCTGTTAACACACTAGTTTTAAATTACTCCCCAACCGGTGCAACAGTGCACTTGGGAACGAAAATTGAAGGATGAAGGTAACTGTTCCGCTTCGAATAAATCGCCGTTGTCTTGCCTACCACGTGGGAAGGGGTTTTGAGGTACCACTTGCATATCACCATGCCGTTAATACTGCAGCTGCAGGTGTGTATCTCGGGCGACACCCAGTGTACTGCTTCGTATGTTGTCAACCCCTTAGTGTCTATTGAATTCTCGAAAAAAAAATAGCAATTCATAGTATCGTAAGCATTTAATATGCGCGTTGAACTCCTGAGAAATGTTGATTTACAGGTCTGTGCGACTACACCATGCATGTTGCGGGGTGCGGAGACGATAACGGAAACGATTGAGAAAGCTCTCGGTAATATAATAGTATAAATATTGTACATCTCATTGAAAATCTGGTTTCGCGAGCGCATTTTATTCGATGCATGCAAATTGCAGTGAATATAACCTTTTTCACGTTACAGGTATCCATGTTGGGGAGACCACGAAGGATGGCTTGTTCACGTTGGCGGAAGTGGAGTGCTTGGGAGCTTGCGTAAACGCTCCTATGATGCAGGCGAGTTAGCGGTTACTGCTGCAAAATCATTTGTTTGGTTCGGTGTTAATATTTTTTGCTGATCATTTTGATACACTTACATTTTGCAGATTAACGATGATTTCTATGAAGATCTCACCGTTCAAGACGTGAATGATATTTTGACTGACTTGAAAGAAGGTCGTCGTCCACAGCCAGGACCTCGTTCCGGACGCCTAGCTGCTGAGCCGATGGGAAAACTGACATCTTTAACGGTGGGTTCTTTCACTCCTACTCACGTGGGCATGACTTGAATACTATTGAAACACTACTAAACTCAGGGTCAAAACACAGCGCCGAGAAATTGGGATCGTGCACGAACCCTTGACTGAAAAGGTTTTTAAACATCTTTAGCATTTTCAAGACCTCAGCGAATGGTGAAAATGCGTGTTTATCGGTACGCCAACCCAGTCACCCCATGAATGGGCCAATTTCCGAGTTCACCCTTCTTCTCGAGAGCTGCTAATTTTGATTGAACCCATGACGTCAAATTTTTACCTTCAAAGACAACCCACTTTCTGGTGCATCCGCTACCTGTTACTTACTCGAGCACTCTGCGCAAGTACCGATATTTGTGAATGATATTGATCCATTGCGTATGGTCCCATAATATTCAAATTCTGCGACCCCACGCAATCAGTACTGTAGTTCGCTAACCCTTTAATGCTCAAAGCAAAAGCGATATTTTTGATCTTTGTAGATCGAGAGTGCTTAGCCATGGGTTAATTGGGATTTTGTGACTCGACTTTGTACAACAAATATAGTGATTTGCTAGCTGTTTGAGTACTTTGATAAAACTTACCTTCGATCGAGGTCAGTTGGTAGCCCGTGACCCCAAATTTCTTTGATCGTATATGGCCACCTGCTCGCATGACCATTTCAGAATCAGAAGTAATGGCGAAGGTATCCGGAACGGAGTGTTCATCCCACGCCACCTTCCCCCCCCCCACTCCTATTAGGCTCAGCACTGGTCACTGTTGTGCATGCCACAGCATACTTTCTCGAGCTTACATTGGGAACAATCCTGCCAATCACAACCAAACAGCTTACAGACAAGATACTGTTGCAAAACATGCATTATTTTTCTTATGTTGGTGTAGTAGGTGTTCCTGTAATTGGCTAACTGCCGAGCATGATTATTGTGAGTAGAAACTTTTAAATGAGAAGTTCACGCTCCACCGTCAGGCATTCCATGGTTTCCACCCAGTACTTTCTTTCCCCCTCCAGTACTTTCTGTCCAAATGTTCTGTTGTAACAAGATTCTGGAAAAAAATCGCGACAAGTATCAAATTTTGTTTTTTGGCTGCAGTCATGTCGATAATTCCTCTGATGAGACAGCCTTTATTCCAACTATTTTCGTTTTAGGAAGAGCCAAAAGGACCTGGTTTCGGACTCCAAGCCGCACTCAAATAGAAGTGAATCCTGAGAATTGTAGAGTATAGTTATTAATAAAGATGTGCTCCGTTTTATGTGTTGTGGTATCCGTGTTTTGCACCTCAATATTGAACATTACTTCCCTCAAAAAATTTCGCCAATATGCTCTTTCTTTTCCAGATGAAAGTAGTGTTTCTTTTTTCACAAGTTCATGTCAATTTCCGAGTGGATGAGCTACGCGGAATTTGCGATGCATTGCGATTGGATTTTGACGTATCGCAAATTAATTCGAAGGTAATCAAGGATTTACACTTCCACAATTTACGGAACAATTTACGGAGTTGCGTTAATGCCATATTTGGAGTTTCTGATGACGCAGTGTACCCTTTTAGTGCACACCTACATTCGTCGGACGTTTTATTGACTTGACTACATTTCACTGCGTTAATTGCATAATAGTCGGAAGCTGCTTCTTATAAGCCCGACGGCTATTAGGCTGAGCACTACAACTTTCCAACTGCGATCCGTAATCTTCTGTCGTAGTCTTCGACACATGCGGTTATTGATTGTTGTGAACCAGGAATATGATTAGTTTCTGGGGTGATTCTAAGCATGGCGTCGGCCAATTTTGAAAGTTGGAGCCATATTTTGGTTAGAGTCGACAACGGCCTTTGGCCTTTACCAGGACGCAGGTACTCAGTCGCTTTCTGTAAAGCATCATTTTTAATCCCAACGGAAATGTCGGCATACCCTTTTCCACGAAGGTCTGTTTTTGGTAGTGCAGGAAACTTGCCTCTTAGAAGGAATGGTCAATAGGTCGTCCCAGCATTTAGAATGAGATGTGTACCGACCCTCTGTTTCAGAAAACCAGAAGCGCGTCGAGTGCAGACCACACACCACAAGTGACGACGGCCTCCAAGTAAATCTTATAACTAGTGATTCATAGTGATAGCTGATAGTTGGTAAATGATAGTTGTAATTAGTGACAACTGATAGAATACAACTGCAACAGGCTAATCATTTCATTGGCAGAAAACATTTACATCTTGTAGAAAGTGTCGTGTCTTGTGGTGTGTGGTCTGCATTCGACGCGGTTCTGATTTTTGAAATAGGTGTATATACTTCATGGTCATGCGCTGAGTTCAAATTTTTTTCCTTATCTGTGGAACAGTTTTTTACAGAACTTATGAAGCAGGAAAGCGCAGTGGTAGTGGCCCTGACTCACAAGCGAGAGCTTGTGGGATGCCTCCAGCGCGATTCTCACTTTTACTCTTCTCAAAACTAGGTAGGAAGGTTTTAACATAACCCTGAAAAGAGCAGTAAGGATCACGACCTGCGCTTCCCTATCTCGTAGCTGCATGGAGGAGGTCATTCGGCAATAACAGAGCATACATATTCAAACTGAGCTCTCGACGCACATGTATGATTATACATCTTTTTCCGAATGGGCAGACTGACCAAGGCTCCTACGTTTAGATGACCTCAGGAGTGCTTATGCATTCGGCTACCAAAAAGCCAGAAATTTCCTCTGAATCACTGTTTTGGGTAAGATATTCCCCTGATTTGAAGGAAAGAGTCAGCCACGGGTAAACAGTTAGCTTATCAGTCTTTCCAACCATACTGCCTTTTAACCGAGATCGTGGAGATCCCGATAACTGTTGAGAGAGTGCAATCTAGTGTACTTCTAATTCATGGGGGCTGCATTTAGCTGTCCTTTGAGGAACACGCATTATTGTATTGCTCCAGTCGACCCGAAACTGCTACCTAGATTGATATATCTCCAGTTGCGAAGCCCTAGGACCAACCCAATATGACCTGTCGTATGGTCCCTCCCTGAATACAGCACAGATTCTAGCTGCAATGGCTCAAACAAAGTGGCATTGTAGGAACATATTACATACAGGGGAGAGGAGGGGGGAGGACAAAAAAAATCACTTTCTCTCCGTCGTGAAGCGGAATAATTACAATTTGCTAAATCCAAACGAATGCACCCAACAAAAGATTGATGAGCACATTCCATTGAATAAAAACGCTATAGTAGCCTTCTATCCCGCCAACATCAGAAGAATTTCGCCACGCAGAGGTGGTGCACGTTTCGCTCTCAGCTAAGTCCTTGACAGGTCGTCGGCCATTGCGATGTTATTTGAAATGCTGATGGGGAGGAGTCTTTCATAGTCACAGCTAGTGTCTCAGGAAGCTTTCCATCAGTTAACAGATTGAAGAAAGTATGTAGCACTTCAGGTTAACAATTATGGTAGGCCTTCTTTACCTCAATATTGAAGACAATTGATGTCATATCTGAAGACGTGAGGGCAGTCGCGGACGGGTCTGCTTCTGTATGAAGGCATGTTTCGTCATCAAACTCCCTTCAATGGCAACACCCTCTGCGACGAAAAGTTTGGTGATGTGCGCCATGAGAAATCAATTCTCTGGCCATCCTACACAATAGGTCAAAATATGGCTCGATTCAGAGAGGATTTTGTGTTTGTTCAGAGAAGTTGCAAAACTCTGAATGAAGTTTATGTACACTTTCAGTGAACCTCCATGCATACGGTAAACAAACCCAAAACAGCTGAAAAGGGTTTGTTTTATCCTAGGGATCTCATCCAAAATGTCCGAAGACATTCTGGACACTCGATAATTGATAGTCAATAAGGGATGCGGTTTCAATACGCGACTCTTCCATGTGATGTTAAACTGAATTCTACATTTGATTCCTTAACTTGCCCATAATTTCTAATGATCCTTGACTTTTCCAGCTGATCGGAGGGCAAGTAATTGCTCTACAATCATCACTTTCATACATCTCAATAATTGCATGTTTATGCTGATTTTTTAATACTTAGCGCATTACTACATAGTATGTATACATATGCTTCAGAAAGATGCCCGTGAGGCGGCGGGGTAATACATTGCCTATGAGGGTGCGCTTCTGGAAATGCGCCGATTATTCCCCCGGATGCAACAGTCAATATGAGCGCAGTCCTTAATGTGTCAACTTTGCTCATCAAATCTTCAAATCAGATGAAAGAAAATTTCGTAATCAAGTTCGAAGACGCATTATATGACAGTATCCTAATTTTTATAGCCATTTCGGCTCACTATCCTTCTTGTAGACCTCAAACTTTCCTGTGGGGCTCGACATGAAGCAGGAGCTAACGATTTCAACCCCATCTGAAATGTGGAAAATATGTCTGAGGCCCAGTAATTCTAGTAATTGTTCCGTAGTTGTAATTAATTAGCTGACTAATAGCTATAATACTAATAGTTTTGTTTGAGACTGCCAGCAACCATTCATTCCAGGAACACTTGTTCACAGTTGAAATAAGTAGCGAAGAATACGTCCGAAAAATTCTTTCGAGGTCGGTTCTTCTAAAGTCTGCATATTATCACATGTTCTCTGCTAGTTCCTATGAAGACCTATGTAACGCAGTGATGAATCGTCCGCAAGATTTTGAGGTTTCTGTTTTTATCATTGAAAACCTTTCTGCAATATTTTATCAACAAAAACTGCCTCTATAAGATCTTTATTACTTATCATCAAGATTACAGGTGTTTGATTGTGCCGATCAATCATTCAGTGTGAAAGTGCGCCCAATAGGACGCAAAAAAGGTGTGAATTGCTTGAGCATTGCTGAGGTACTAGTTACTTGTAGCTGCAGAACAGTTTGACTATGTGGCCAGTTTTCAATTCGCAACAATCTAAAGTTCTTCTATTTTCACAGAAATTCGCTCGGATACTACCACTTAATACTGCTAGTGTGAACTTGAAAACTCCGCTCAACTCATTTTATATCCTGGAGGAATTTTCTGATGCCTGCCAGTTGGAGCCCCAACGGCTTATCTTCTGCAGATTGGTAATTTTTTTGTTGAACTGTCGTATTTTGAGAAGTATTTGTTCATTGGAAATATTTTCGAGACGTTTTTTTCTTCACTACGCTTTCTCCATCAACCATGCACGAGTCCTAACTATTCTATATCTCGAAAGCTGATTAGGCGTATTCATGGATTTGAAGTGGCTGTCGCCGCTTTTGATAGAAGTTATGCGATAAGCTGTTTCCAGCATGCTTTGCTGATATCCAGCGGAGTATGTTAGAAACAGCTTATCCACACGAATTCTATCAAGTGCGGCGACGGCCACGTCAAATCCATAGCACGCCTAATCACACTTCGAGATATGGACTGTATCTACAGCTGTTCCACCAGCCAGTTATTACACATTAGTTGAGTTGTGTTTGATAGTGGAGATGAACTCGTTCAATTTCACTGGTGGCCAAATATGTATCCAAAGTGTACTCCTCGAAGCAATCATTCTTTATGATTGGCAGATACAGTTGAAGTTTTTCAGTTGTAGATTGGTGATGGCCAGTACAAATTGAAATCTCGTTATGATATCAAAACAAGGCGATACATCGGAAATACAACGATGGACCCAGAGCTCGCCTTTATTCAGGTCCAATCATATTGATGATTATTTTTCAAAAGAAAATATGTTGAATGAGTGAGTTGATTAGACAGCTGAATTTGTACCGAACCTGTCGGTGTCTACTTAGTGTCCCGTACTTTGGACCATTTATTCTCACTGCATAAAATCATCATAATTGTTCTTCCTGCATATGCCTTTCTAATTACAAACATAAAAGATGTAAATATGGTACCATTTGGCAGACATAAAGTTACCTTCCTAGATGAAGCACTCTTGGAAATTGCATAGGTTCGCTGATCTTCTAATTTTCAGCAGACATGTTAGGCGCATGCAACCTTAGAAAGCTTCCATTACTTTTGAGCTGATGTTGTTTTGAAGGATCAGGCAACATCTGTGTAGAGATTAATTGAGGCGGGGTTGTGACTGGTGTCCCGTTTGGAACAAACTCATTGAATCATTTGAAGCCTGTACATTTAGTATGGAATCTCCTCTATTAAGAAATTTCTATGTTCTCGTGATTTACATCAATTTTGAAATGAAAAAAAGTTCGCTTCCAGTTTTGGGTTGTCTTAATCCCATATTTCCTTGATATTTTATTTAACACTCATTATTTCCACTTGTTTTTATTTCTTCATGATTACTGATATTTTCAGAGCAACATCACCTCAGTTAGGACGTCTGATCTTGTACTGGATCCATTTATGGGCACAGGTATGTTCTTTCGAAAGAGGCTTGATCGGTTAAAATAGCCATTTGAAATAGGATGAATATCATCCTATTCGCTCTCGTACGCTGATTGCAAATGTATTCTTCCTCTGGAGACCGATGCTGGCGAGCTACGGAAATGTTTCCCGTTCAATTGGTGCAGTATCATTGTAAGTCCATCATTGTTGGCAGAGGAGGGTAATAGGTCTGGAATGTGATGCGTAGAATCCGACTCTTGCGGTCCGGTTCTGATCAAATTTTTCTTTCAAGTCTGATGAACGTCTCTCCGAACGATGTTGCGCAGGTTTTCCAAAAGAACACGCTTATACTATTCACACTAAAGGATTTCACGATGAAAAGGCAGCTCCTGAGAAGTGATTGCAGGGGTGCTGGGATGAAGAAAAAACCATGAGAAACGGCCAGAACCCAAGAAATGGGACCCTTCTTGCCCGTTGATTTCCGCATTGATGCGACTCTCATCGGTGCTGCCCTCTTCAACGCTAACGCTCTCTCTCTCTAACGGCTAGAGGTGGGACGGCGAGAGGGAGGCGTACCGCGCCGATAGCGCCGCGGGGAGGGCCATGCTAGATCGCCTTGGGCATATCCTTCGCTGCGAATTGCATGTCGGTCCGAACCCATGAGGGGCCTGCCTATCTTCCCACTACGTAATTTTATTCGACCTCCGAAATTATCGTGGAATCCTCTTTTGACTTACCACTTCTAGAAGGATTGCTGTAGCACGATAGCTCAACGATTATGTTATCGGCTGCACGCCTGCACGTTGGTGGGTTCGAGTCCTGGATATGTGCCACTTTTTGCAATTTTCGGGGGTTCTTCCTGCATCTTCTGCAAGCTTGTTGTATGTGAAGAGAAATAAAAGCGAAGGTATCTTAACGGAATGAACAAATGGAACCATTTTGATGCCATCATTAACACTCCTGATATTGTTTTTTGGGCAACCCTGGACAACCAAGTTCTCCAAAAATCTGTAATGAAAGGTATGACATGGAAACGAATATCATTATCAGTTGGGTGAAAACATCA